GGGATAAATTGATGAATGAATGGAAGGATGGAAGGGATGAAAGGAATAAAAGGAACAATGGATGGGTAAATAAACGGATGGATGGATGGATGGATGCATGCATAGATATAAGGAATGGACAGAAGGTGTAAATGGACATTGTGTTGATACATACCCTACAATCTCTCTGGATTGTTTTCACTAATGAATTATATGTATCTGGTTCCAGAAATATACCCTAATGATGAAAGACAAACAAGAGGTGAGACGCAACAAAAGCAAGGGTACTAGCAACAGTAACAGTAAGCACCAGTAACAGCACCAGTAACATATGAAACAACAAATGAAGCAATGACAAGCACTATAGCAATAGAAAAATATGGAAAGGTTTAGAGCAAGGAAAACAACCAATGTCAGCAGCTACGACAGTATATAAAAACTAATAAATCAACAAACCAACAAATAAACAGACAGACAAATAAATAAAAATTGAGAATTAACAGTGCTTCCAAACAGTGGCTATTTCAAATGAAATTTAGAAAATTGATATTTTCAGAGTGAGGAAAATTCAAGGAACCTGGAGAAAAACCCTCGAAGCACAGGAGAGAACCAACTATCAACATCATACAAAACCAAGTCAGGGAAACAAACCCAGGTGGCCCTGGTGAGCTTTCCCACTGCACTTCTAATAAACAAGATTACAACGACTAAAATAATTATCAAAAACATCAGCAAATATCACAGCAGCAAACAAAAGCAGTGCAAGACACTAACCTCTGGATGGTCGGAAAGAAAGTCCAAGTCTTTCAGTGTAGGAGTTGCTTTGGCTCGTTCAGTTTTGGATGCCCTTCGTTTGTATGATGAACCCTGGAAATAGTGAATCATACTAGATAAATGAACTTGATTGCCTCTTTAGCTTGGGAATAACATTTACCCATTTCAGACCATGTCAGTCCATTAAGTACCATTACTTTAATGAAATAGACCTTTCCTGAATTCGCTTGACTGACAACGAAACAATGGTTTAAGTCGAGACTGAACTTCATTCTTTTATTCATCAAGTTCAACCTCGACATGAAACCATTGTTTCGTGGCCAGCCAAGCGAATTCGGGATGGGTCTATTGGAAATGGCACACTACGAAAGCAGGTGGTTTTCAGCAATTCTACTCTGGAACGAGGTATATAAAATTGCGCTCGCTCTGGGACAGGGTATGTGAAATCACGCTCTCTCCTCTCTGGAACAGGGTATCTATTTTCGCAATACCGGAAAAGGTTATGGTTTTCAGCGATCTTGCTCTGGAACAGGGTATGAATTTCAGCGATTTTACTCAGTGGAAGAGGGTCAGGGTTCAGAGGGCTCAGAGGCACATCCCTACCCTAAGCAAGCAAGAGTACCCCCCTCCTTGGGGTGTTTTTTGATAAATGAACACCATTGAAGACCTGGATGAGAGAAGAGTAGCTACTGGGGGTTGACAGGCAGCAGGCTTAAGAAGGACAATGATGAATAGTAGAGACTTCATGCGTTTATTGGGACAGTGGTTTCCAAAGCAAATGCATCACAAGGCTGATCTCAAGCCACAAGGCAAACTACTGTATAATGATGATGATTTTGTGCATTGAGAAATGATATGGATATGGAGAGACCTCAAGTAAAGAAGCCTATATTCTACCTTTAGGTCGTATTTCCAGTGGAACTTATAAACTGTGGGTAACAGATTATTCATTATAACCAATCTGATATTTTTTCCTCCACACTGATAAAAAACAAAAAACAATTATTAGAAGTTGCATACTATTATATTCTATAGTATATTAGTATGTTTTAATTAACTTGTGAAACAAGCATACTAAAATATGTTATTTCACAGGTTTATGAAAACCATTCTATTCTAATGTCCAATTATGATGTTGGGTGAACTTGACTTGATAAATGTATTATCTGCAGGATTACCAAAACAGATAATACATTTATCATGTGATGTCAAGTTTACATGATATCAGGGATTGGTAGAAGGCTCCTGTCCAAACAGAAGTGAGATAGTGAGTGAAAATACGTATCACAGTTATTTTCATAAACATGCGTCCTCGGTGCTCTTGAGTTGCACGCTGAAATTTGGTTTTCCGCTTCCATCAATCAAACCTAATCAGTCGGTAACTTTCATATTTTTGTCCGGCGGCAGCAAAAAACCAAATTTCAGGTGCAACTCAAGAGCACCGAGGATGCATGTTTATGAAAATAGCTTTAATGATATCTATTATACATCAATTTTATGAGCACCACATTATCATACTGTATGTACTAACCTGATAACAAAAAAGACCAAAAAACTTTGGTAGTAGAGTTTTCTTATTTTGATTGAGATTCTGCAATCATTATAAAACACAGAGATAATTGTTACAGTAAAAGTCAAGATTTTAGTCTTATTTGTCTATTCGTTCTAGCGCTTTCAAATCAAATTACGTCCAATTACTTATCCCCATCAGCTGATCTGAGAGAAAACGTTAGCCAATCAGAATGAGAAAATTTGCAAAACTTAGGTGTCACTTTTCCACTAGAAATCATGGTTTTCCAGGCCACAAAAGTCAAAAAAAAATTTGCTTATAATAGGCTGATAACAGCAGCATAATAATTACTGTAATAATTAGTTGCAATGGTGGACAGGTTTTTACTTTTTGCTGGTCAATTTTCACAGACTTTATGACACTTCAGTTTTGCAGTGACGTCATTTCCATGTCACTATTTCTGTGGCAGGACAAGGAGTTTTGTTCAACCTAAAAAAAATTACGCCCCCACCCCCATTTCAGCTTCCTGGATTCACACCTGAAACCTATACCTGGAATGTCTTACCAGATAATATCCTGGCAGCAGTTTTTGCAAGAAATCAGCTTCTTTATGATCAACAGTCTTAATTATGAATTGATTGTCATTAGTAACGTAAAAGAGAGAACCACTTGCTCCTGGATTGGACAGCTCTAACAAACCCTCGTTACACAGGGACATCTGAAAACAAAAGGAAAGAAATCATCCTAAAGGGAAGAACATTTCTATTGGAAAGCTCTAACAAACTCTCGTTACACAGGGACATTTGAAAACAAAAGCAACTAGCCATCATCCTAAAGGGAAGAACATTTCTATTGGATAGCTCTAACAAACTCTCGTTACACAGGGACATTTAAAAACAAAAGGAAAGGCATCATCCTAAAGGGAAGGACATTTCTATTGGATAGCTCTAACAAACTCTCATTACACAGGGACATTTGAAAATAAAAGCAACTAGGCATCATCCTAAAGGGAAGGACATTTCTATTGGATAGCTCTAACAAACTCTCATTACACAGGGGCATCTGAAAACAAAAGGAAAGGCATCATCCTAAAGGGAAGGACAGTTCTATTGGATAGCTTTAACAAAGCATTGTTACACAGGGACATCTTAAAACAAAAAGAAAGGAAGGGTCCTAAAGAGAAGAACAAAGGGCTACTTTGGCTATACAGCGGCATCATTTTCAAGACCTCGGGCACAGTTTTTTCCTATCTGGACTGACTATAGGACAGTAAATAACTTATTTATTTTTTCCAGTATTTTTTACTTGAAACTGTAAATCACCCATTGAGGCAATTGACTGGAAAACTTTTTTATCTACTACAGATCTCACCAAGCTGTGGCGACACGTCAAAAATTTGTCTCGCTACCACAGTGCAATGCAATACATGAAAGATGGAACGCCGACTGCTGTAACAAGAGTAGGCGTGTCAGTAGATGAATTAGGGCGTGGTAGGGAGACAAATTTTTGGCGTGTCGCCACAGTTCGGTGAGATCCGTAGTGTCATATTATGAAATACTCTAAGTGTATTTAAACTCAATGCTTCATTTTTGAGGGTTTGAAACTGTAGAAAGTGCAATATTATCGTATAGTCCTTTGGTCCTTAAATTTTGCATTTGTTTAGGTAAGTAGATTAGTAAGTAGGTTAGTAAGTTGCTCGTTGCTTCTTCCTTTCTTTGCTTTGAGGGGTTTTTCTCTTGAAAAACCTGAAGAACAAGCCTAGATGCTCAGGAAAGAAGCAACTGTGTTTGCATACAGTACACATATGATACATATAGTCATTGTTATAATCAATCATCGTTTGAAGTGGTTTAATTGTCTTACCATAAAATCATCAGGTTTCATGCTAAAAAGATCTCTAAAGAATCTAAAAAAGATAGAGAAAAAACTGTAATGAGTTTACCACTCCACAGCTACTGTAAAAAGAACGGCTGGTTATCATGGGAAAATGTCCGGCCAGAATTGGAACTTGTCTGCTCAAATCTTTGCCTTCCTGGTCATTTTGACAAGTAACATTAAAGTGCTACTACTAAGAAAATCGCTCAAACTTGGATTCAGCTGAAACTTCCTAAAAATACTCTTTAAAGGTCCAATAATCACTGTATGAAGTGTTTTCTCGATATTCAGGACGAAAGTATGATATTTTTACGATTATTT